TGTATGAGGCACCGAGTTTGATTCTTAGCACCACATATAATAAAAGGTCCATCAACAGCTAAAAAATTAAAAAATAAAAAAAAAGCTTGAAAACCACTGGACATTAAACCACAGGGGCTATAAAAAACCTACTGTGGCCTGAATCTTAGGACTTCAGATTCACAAATTCTGCCTTGTTCAAACCGACTTGAAAGAGAAGCAGGGTGTGAAGGAGGAGATGGGGCACTCACCTCCTCACATCAGGCAGGATGGTGTGCTCATTTGTTTGAGCTACTACCACTCAGAAAGTTTTGAAAATATTTGGAATGTAGTAGGAGATGCAAGGACCACCCACAAGTTAAAAACCTAAAGAAAAGCCTTCCAAATACAACAGGGCAAACGTGGGTTAGCTTCTCCCCAGCTCCACATCCAGACCAGGGCAGGGCTGGGTGAAAAAGCCACCTTGACCAACCCCACTTGAATTCCCCATTCCTGAGTGTTATATTGGGTAGGAGCCTTGGAAATGAATGTTATCACAGCATGCAGTGTTTGGAGGTGACAGAAAACACTCCAGTCATGTCAGAGAGAATGACCATGTAGATTAGACTGGGGGAAATACCCCAGAACTCCACTCAGCATGCTTTCTTTCTAATGCTGCCAGCAAAATGAGTCCAAATTCAGGCAGAGCTCTGAACAATGCACTCATTTATTGCCTAGGTTTTCAGGCAAATAGCTGTGAAAATACATTGGTGAGGTGGAGACATCATTACAGGACTTTGAAATTGAAACTGCTTCCAACCTGCTTAGTGTTATTGTTTTTCAGGATTGTCACTCATTAAAATTAAAATCTAGCTATAAAACAAGAGACCTGGGGAGATGTTCACTTCTCTGCAGATAAATCCTGCTTCCTCTAGCTTTACTCCTTAAAGGCAGGGCAAATCCAAATCATCATCTCAGCACTGAAGGATGCCCCAGAGCAGTTTCACAGCCCTGTAAAAGTCTCCAGAGGAGATGGTCTGAACACTTGAAAAAAGCAGCCTTCTTTGCAATTATCTAAGAGGAACAGGGTGATGTAACTCGCCATTCTTCCTACTATCCTGTTCAGAGTCACATCTTTAAAAAACAAATACTGGGGATTTGTTGTTGCTTTGTTTTGCTTTTAATCTCCATTAAGGAGTGGTCTGATTACGTAATGGTATTTTATGGTGAGGGAGGTGAGCCCATCCCCGAGTTTTGCCAGTGCCCATTATTCAGCCTCCTGCCCAGCTCACCCAGGGCCTTCTAAACACCAGGAGCTTTCAGATGAAGCACAGACTGCTTTCCTCCAAATCCACATTCTGTGGAGCCAGTGTTTGGCAGATCCTGCTGTTTTACATGACTGTGGCCTCCAAACTGGGTTTTCCTTTCTCCTTTCTGCAAATAAGGTGGCAGCATCTGGTCCCAAATCATTTTCCCAAAATGACCTTCCAAATGAACACCTGGAGAGTCCAAACACCCTCCAACTGGAAGGTGTTTGTCATTTACTCCACACGCCCTGCTCTAGCCTCTTGCAAAACCTGTCTGCCTTCCCACTGTCAAGAATGACGTACACACCTTTAATCCATTTGCCTTTTTGAAAAATGAAGGTGAGACCTTGATTTACTGTGGCCGGACCACCCTACTGTACAATACCAACAGATTATTGGGCCTGGTGGCAGCCCTGTCCATCATGTTTTATGACTGGGACAATTCCCATCTTGGCTGGGGAGCTAGGAGTGGAATTTTAACTATGAATTTCCTTGTGTTTAATAGGACAAAGTCAAAAGGCCACATTCTGCCTTCAGATATGCATGAACAACTTCCAACTGGAGTTACTCATGTATATCTGAGTTTAGTTAAAATACTCCAACTCTCCAGCATTATTGAATAACATGCTTTGTTTCTTTTTAAATTTTTTTAAATGTGCATGAGGGAGGGTGAAACAGCATGAGTTAATTAATCAAAATTATTTGCTCTTTTTGGGGAAAGGTTTGGTTATAGTCCCACTCATCTACTTTTTTTTTGGTCTGGGGATTGAACTCAGAGGCACTGAATGAATCACTGAGCCAAACCCCCGTCCTGTTTTGTATTTTATTTAGAGACAGGGCCTCACTGAATTTCTTAGGGCCTCACTAAGTTGCTGAGGCTGGCTTTCAACTTGTGATTCTCCTGCCTCAGCCTCCCCAGCTTCTGGGATTATAGGCATGTGCCACTGCACCTGACCTTTTATTCCATCTTGATACAGACCAACTACTGAGCCCCCCCAAGCTTATCTTAAAGGTCTCAATAGCCTAGATACAGCATGTTACTTGAGGGGCAGCTGTAGGACAGTGGAAACAGATGTAGACTTAGAAGAAGCAAGATCAAGTTCCAGTTCTGATAGTACTTGTATGGACTTGGACAAGTCACTTAGTCTTTCCTAGTATCTATTCATTCATTTGTATTGACTTTGCAAGGTTATTGTGTGAATGCAAGATAACAGGTATAAATTTGGTCCCCCCACTTCAAAAAAGTACTTTATCTATCACATAAGCAAAAATATATAAATAAACAAGTGCCAGATGATAATGGAGAGAGTAAGGAGAAATTTACAGGCAAACAATGTTCATGAGTGTGTAAATGGTAAACGCCCTTGGAAAGCAATTGCAATGAATATTGATAATGAACATTTAAAATTATCCTCTTAGGTTTAATAGTTCCATATTTGAAAGTTTGCAATAGGAAATAAAAAATAATGGAGGAGAAAACAGTGGAAACAACCCAAATTTTAAGCAAATGAGGGAATGTTTAACTCCTATCAGAATGACACATAGGTTAAAATCTTACAGTGTTTAAATGAAGAAAAATGAATTCAAAGTATATGTATTCTGTATAGTCACATCTTTGTAACAATTACAACAAAAAGCAAACATTTTAAAAACCTGGAAGCAAATAGAACCTGGTAGAAGAGAACCAGAAGACACTTTGAATAGAAGGACTACATGAACCTTTGTCCTTCTTTCAACACTTAATACCATATGTATACAGATGATCCTCAGTATGTATTAAATGGATTTTTTACAGTGTCATACCCTAGCTCATAATTAGCTAGAACATCTTGCTCAAATAACTTTCCAATTAATCAAAGCTTTGTTTTAATTAGTCCTCCAAAATAGTTTTGAAATTTTTCCAGTGGTTTGATCCTATTTTTCCATCCAGCTATATGTAAGACGATAGATATTCAGACTAGCACATTTGGCATTTGGTCAAATGGCAAAAGCTTGGATTTAAACATTGAGTGTCACAAGGCACAACATCAAAGGAATGTTCAAATATTGCTCCTCACATACAGCACAGCCCATGTCATTTGATCCTCAAGAATGCAGAGCAGCGGGTGATGAATGTCCATGGCAGGAGAGCCAATGTACATATTCCCATCAACAGAAGAATGGGTGCAAGCCAGACAAGCAAGGGATGCCAATGGTGTGCTCGTAGACAGTCATTTTCATCATCAGCATGGTATTGTGAATTAGAAATACGGAGGGAAATTCAATAAACAAAGCCCCATTAATTCACAACATAGATGAGTACATAAATATTTGTAATAGTTATTGCCTTCAGATAAATCCAACTGTGACACTATAAAACGCTATTTTATATTTCTAGCATGTGCCACAGGCCTTGTACAGTCACTTACGAGTTGAGCACCACACTCTACAGAGTAGAGTTGTCTGGCCAGGAAATAGAAGATAGTCTCTGCTCAGGCAACCCGCATAGGAAACATATTTTACAGCACGGAGGGGATAATACTCTATGGCAAAAATTAAATCAGTTCTGCAATTGCAAGTGGAAAATGTTTCCTTACATCTGAATTCACTTACTGAGCAAGGGACCAGACATGCACCTCAATTACAAGAAATTAAGTTCCTTGAAGGCTCATGAAATCATCAAACGTTAGAAATGAAAGGGAGCTTACAAATCTTCTAACACAATACATACATACACACACACACACACACACACACACAAACTTTTTACAGATGAAGGAGGTTGGGAATTTCCCAAGGTTATACAGCTAGAAGAGTCAGGATTCAAACCCAGGTCGCATGGCTCTCTTTGCTGCTCATTTCAAAACTCCTCAAATACCACAGGGAGTGAGATTGCTCAACCTTGACAAGTACTATCATCAGATGTTCAGGATGCCATGTGGCAGGATGCAAAGGGCTTTGAAGTCACCAGAGTTCATATCCTGACTTGGGCACTTGCAGTGTACAGCCTTGGAAGGTCAACTACAGTCACCACAGCTCAGGCTCATCTACAAAAGCAAAGACCGTAAACCCTGCCCCATGGCATGGTGGTAAGAATTAAATGGGATAATACACATAAGTACCAAAAGGATGCCCGGCACACCACAGAAATTCCATGAACAGCACCTGCCATTACTATCTTCCCACTTCCTTGAAGGCAGACCCAAAGTCCTGAACTTTCAGCATCAGCCTACAAAGAAGAGTGCCATCCAAACAATTCATCCTTACCAAATGCTGTATGGAGGTTTCTGTTCTCAGTTGTGCCCAGCCGAAATAAACCTAATTCAATCTGGATCATTTAATGCTTAGCACCATTTTTAATACTAATCTCATCAGTTGTTATTTTCTGTTTCCGATTTACCCAAATAAGCCATTTTTAGAGGTTATGACTTTAAACCTAAGATGCCCATAAAATAGAATTATCTTGGAAACACCAAGATCCCTCTGAGGGAATGTCAACATAAACACACAGGGGAAATGGCCACGCTTGATAAGGATTTGGTCACTGGCTTGGATGAGTGTTCAGTTGTAAACTCATCCGATACTATTCTGAGGAATTCCCGTCTATATGTGCTTACTGCCCTCGCCACCCTGCCATCCTCTAGGTTTGAATGTCCTTTATGGAGTGAACTTGATCCTCCTGTTTCACTTTTGGTCTCTGTCCAGAGAAGCGAATGCGCTGGCATAGCTCTGCCATTTGTCAGCCAGAAGTCTGGCTACACATTTGCTCGTCAATCTAAACCTAACCTATTCTCATATGAGCACTTGGGGCTTCATGTAAATCAAACAGACATTCTGTCATTCACCAGCAATATCGCTCCATAGTGCTCTACACCCATGTGCCTCCGTGAAATATTTCACTATGCCTGTGGAAGAAATATTCAAGTGACTGTGCTTTTTCAGGAATGGTGACACCAGAATGTTTTAAATCTGTTCATTACCACAACAAGGATAAATGGCATTTCTGCCAAAGACTTTTACTAACGGGTGCCGTAATGCACGTCAGCACTTTCTGAAATTAGAGGTTCTTCCCTGAGAGGTAAGTAGTATCATGCATGGCTAACAAAGGCAAATCCAAATTTTGAAGCCGAGTGTTTCTTATCAGAGTCAGAGTCATTGTTCGTTTCCAACAGACTCTGCCTTGGGGAATTCATAATGTCATGTCTACTCTCTTGGCATTAACATCCAGGTGAGTCTGATCCCAAGGTTTGTAAAAAGGCAGATCCTTATTAACTTAGCATGTTGCATGGTGACTTTTCCTACATTTGGAGCCATGCATGCTTTTATCGGTTATATTTCAAAAGTCTGCTGTGGTTTAAGGACAATCTCTCATTGATGTATTAGTTTGCTACTCATTAAAATACTTTAACAATTAGTCATATAATCTCTTGTTGAGATTTTAAGATATTTGTTTCTGGTTGTAGTAATTAATTGTTCATTAAAAAATTAGTGATGAGACTAGCCTTCATTAATTCTTTTGGCATTTTCAAGAGGCACAAAGGGACTGAGGGACTGGGAGTTTAAACAAGAAAATTAAATATCAGTTCTCATTGACATGTGCATGGTATTAGGACAGGTAACTTAAGTGTTTCTGGATTCACACTGGTGCTTTGATGTAGAGGTAACACATGGGGATACTGGAGAAAATGGAGAAGGGAGGACTTTGGATCCAGGTTATCTATAGCAAGTATACTTTATTCCTATAAGTGTCTGAAATGCCTGGTGTCATTACTATTCACTGCAAGAACTGTAAGTATGACCACTGTGCTGTGTTAAAAAAAAAATCCAATATCTGTGAAAGGTTATTCATCCAAATAATATATCCTCTAAAATTAAAGACTCACAGAGCCTGTATTGTATTGGCTTTCAAAATGTTTAAAATGGACAGAACATAGATTCTAGTCAGAGAGAAATAGTTGTCCTTTACTATTGTGGATTCTGAACAGGTCCTAGAGATCATAAAGGTTTTTAATACTGAATTTTCACTATAAAGTCACTTGATCACCAGTATAAATATTAGTGTCTAACTAAGTAAAATGTTGTGCCAGTGTGAAATGCAAAAATGCCTTCCTCTGGTTTCCTTTGTAGCTTTCTGCCTCTGACTCACGCCCTCTAGTGTTTCTGTGACAAAGTACAGTATTTAGAGTTCAGTTCACAGACAGAATAGGTTCCCACCCCCCACCCCAGTCTCTCAGTATTTTCCCTAGATTCATACACTAAAGCAAACTTATCATCAGATATTTTGCCCTGAATTCTAGGTGATTGCAAAAATTTTTTATCTGAAAGTCTCAACTTTCAGATAAATACAAGTGAAATCTTGTATTCTGACCTCAGATCCCCAAAGGGGGCATTTACTTCTTATTCTTAGAGTTATGCTCCTTCCCTGCCTTTGAATTCTTGTATTCTAATTTACTTTTATTGTGCTGTGTAGATGGGGGAAAGATACTCTAATGAACTGAAGCATGTAAGCAGGCATTTCTTTGACGTATTTCCCAGGGATAGAACTGGGATTCTTCTGTTACCCCAGAGGTTCAAGGTATTTTGACTCAAGAAAAAGGGGATTAATTTTTTAATGATCTTATAGAAAACAAAGGGATATTTTCAGTCATGGAAGCCCTTAGTCAAACCAGAAGCAATAGTCACTTAGGAAATTTATGGCTCCTGAGCACTTTTTCTTTAGAGAAGGAAATATACTTACAAGTGGTCAGCTGCTATTGCTGCTGCTTTGGAAATCAGCCACAGCTGATTGTGAGAGCTAACTATAGGCCAAGGTCATCTGGGGGATCCACCCAGCCTGCTCACAGCCGTGGCGCCCCCACCTAGCCACAGCGCAAGAGCTTGCCAATCCAGCCAGTCCAGCCTAGACTGCTATTTTTAGTTGGAGTTCCAAAAAGTCCTTCAGGCTGCTGGCATTCACTTTTATACTATTTTAAACCATTATCTTTTCTATTCCCTGGCCACTCCTCGCCTTCATAATACCCACTGCATATTCACAGATATGGCGAATTGTAATATTGAAAATGAATCATTTTATGTAACAACAGAGTTCACCCACTTGTAGAGATCTACTCCATCAAATTACTTCAACTGAGTGTCTAAACAAGACACCTCAAATTTAGCTTCCTTCTTCTGTTCAGTCAACTCCCAACCTCCAGTCATCATCGGCTCTTATCCACTCAGATTTGCAAGCATCTGAAACTGATCCTGTCCTCTCCATCCACTGTCATTGCAGTTCATCCATTCTTCTGGGCTGCTATAATAGCTCCAAGCTCACTGTCCCGCCTTCAATGCCAAACACTCGAGTAGCAGTTTGTTACCTTTGAGAATTACAAATCAGAATGGTTTCCTCTTCTGTTTAAAATCCTTCAATGGTTCCCATCACCTGTAAGATTTCCAATTTTTAAACTCCCTAGTGTCTTGGTTCATTTAGGCTGCCTAAAACAGAATACCACAGACTGGGTAATTTATAAAAATAAAACAAAACAAAAAAACCCCAACAACTGGAACATAACGTATAGGCTTCCAGTTGTGGAGGCTTAGAAGTTCAAGATCAAGGGTCTAGAGTCTGGTCAGGGTCTCTTCGCTAGATTATCCCATGACAGAAAAGCAAGAAAGTATGAGAGGCAAAAGGGGGACCAACCACATCCTTTCATAAGGCACACCCTCCTACGACAGTGACCCGACTCCCACAAGGATTGCATTAACCCACCCTAAAGGTACCACCTCTTAGAATTGATATTTGGTAGACTACTAAGAGGAAGTCCAACACATGACTTTTGGAGGACATGTTTAGACCATAGCACTGAGACCAGGAGGCATCCCTCATTATGTAAATATACCCCATGCTTTGACCAGGCCAAGTATTTACTGACTTCCAACCCCATTGTGCTCTTCCATGTCTCCAGATCTGCTTAGTAATGTTCCCACTTTTCTTCAAGTCTCATTTTGCACATGATTATTAATGAGTGTTCCCTGACTCCCCACATCCATTCGGTTAGTCTCTCCATTTTGATGCTCTTTAGGCTATGGGGATCTTACTATAGGAGCTTAATACTAATTTTTTGTGTTCATGACATCTAGAACTGTATCTAAAGTAGTAATTAAATTTTGTTGTATTTATCAAAACCTAAATCTCAAATCAGCCAGTAGCATCCAAGAAATCATCATGTGAATGACCTCTCTGCCTTTCACTAAAAAGAAATTGACTCACTAGGATCCAGACTGGGTCGTAATCTAAGGCCTCATTCACTTCAGGAAATCTGATTTGTTTGCCAAAAGATGGAGTGCAAAAGTCTTGAGGACAAGGGAATTAGATCAGAGAAGGAGACAAGAGCAAGAAGAGTTGGAGCTTGCTGCCTATGCAGACCACCCAATTCTGGAAGACTTAGGAAACAAAGGGGCTACTAAAATTGAGATGGACACCAATGCCTGGCTCGTACACAGTATGTCTTCAGGCTGTCTCTTCTCCTTTAATTTTTGTACTCTATTTATGCCAATTCCCCAATTGGGTATAGGCTCAACCTGAAGAATCTGACTTGGAAATCAATAACCAGCACAGTTCCTACCTTGAATTTCCTGTTTAGTGATTCCCAGTCCTTTTAATCAGAGACAAACAGGCCCAGGGCTGCCTGGGTGTGTAGGAAGAGGAAACTGGGACAGTATCCTTATGCAGGGTGTCTGTGATCTCCACTGCTGTGTGGTCATCACTTGCTCAGCATGGAGCACACGGATAGCAGTGGGCAGAATCTGACTTCAGTTGGATTGACAGGGTAGCATGTTGTAGTTTTCATTTGATTTCAAACAATGACATCTACTAGTTTGTGAGTGTGGGGGTTGGCAATTTGGACTGTGTTCTGTTGAGTGTTTCCTCTGGAGGTCTCCTTTGGGCCACATGATTGGTCTAGACCAAGTGTCACTCACATGTCTGTGGTTAACAGGCTATCTGAAGTGTATTCTCCTCTGGATGGCCTCCTAATGGGTTGATTTGAGCTTATTTTCATGATGATCCCATGGGTCTAGTGCAACAGGAGTGTGTGAGCCTCAGTGTGCAAGTGCTTTTCAGGTCTCTACGTGTATCATGTTTGCTAGTGGTTGAACCATGTCACAGGGTCAAGTTCAGAATCAAGGAATGGAGAAATAGACTTTTTGGTAGGAGGATGGCAAGAGGAATACAAGGAAGCAGGAATATGTGGCCATTTTGCAATCTACCTTAGAGACCTTTTCAAGGTTATCTGTATGAAGCCGCCTGCATATCACTTGGGAAACTCCCTCTGCTTTCCTTAATAATCAATACTCAGAGCAGGGCTCAGTGGAGCATGTCTGTAATTCCGGCAGTTCAGGAGGCTGAGGCAGAAGGACCTAAGTTCAAAGCCAGCCTCAGCAACTTAATGAGGCCCTAAGCATCTCAGCAAGACCTTGTCTCTAAATAAAAAAGGGCTGGGGATATGGCTCAGGGGTTAAGCACCCATGGGTTTAATCTCTGGTTTAAAAAAAAAAAAATCAATACTCAGGCATGCATGCATTACATTCTGCCCAAGTTTGACCAGCCCACAGGGAGGGTGTCCTCTGTCCTCTGATGATCTAGTAAGTAGCCACTTGCAAAGAGCTGGGAGCACACAAATGGGGGGAAACAGTTTAGGTTTCAGTGACAAGCATCCCATCCACTTGAGGGAAGCGGAAGTACAAGAAAAATATAAAGAAATCTAAAGGAAAGAAAAGGTAAGGTGACACATGACTTGTCTGGTGAAGCTTCATGCTTCAGAAGATTGTGAAGACAGTGGGTCACTGGGCCCCTGTGCTCATTTGGCCACAAAGCAGTGGGGCATACAGTAAGCAGCTGCTCCCATCCAGTAGCCCACAAGTGCTCCAGCTAGACAGTCCCATCAACTCCTTGTTCACTTCCAATTGTCTCTTCACACTAAAACCATGTGTGGGTTGCCATCTGTCCAGGCACTCACCTTATTGTGTGGACAAATTGAAGATACTCTACTTTCTATTAAAAAAAAAATATGAAAACTAAAGATAGATCAGCAAGCTCCG